GCGCCCGCCGCCATGACGGGAGGGCTGAGAGGGAGCGGCGGGCCCGAGGGCGATCCTGATCCCCATCCCGATCCCTGTCCCTCTCCCTATCCCTCTCCGTCACGGGCGGGCTGAGGAAGGGGAGCGGGGCCGCCCTCGTCCTTCATCCTCCACCGCCCCAGGCCCCGCAGGCGCGGCGCTCTTCCCCAGGGAAGGCCCCTTCCCCGCGGGCTCTGAGGTGTTATCGCGGAGCGACAGCTGCGGCGTGAGGGGAGACTCCCCTGGCCCGGGGCCCGGCGGGCAGATAGCCCCTCTGGTGAGCGCTGCCTCCAGAAGGGATGGGTCTGGCAGTAGCCGGTGAGAGAGATACAGGTTGGTTTCTTTCCTGTGGTAGAATGTGTCCACGCAAGGGGAATAAAGCAGGCAGCGTTCTGAATTACCTGTCCCCGGAACCGCTGTCCTGGCACATTGCCCTCTAAAGAAGAGGGAATAAGCTCCGTTACAGTAAGAGTTTTTACACTCTGCATAGGCTACTACCTGAAGTCACAGGTAAGGTTAAAGCAGTAACATTTCATACCTGCATAACTACTCTGTACAGGGAAGCTGCTGATTTTCACACACTCTTCATACCACTATTGAACAAAGAGCCTGGGGAGTCAGCCCCAAACCTGAAAACTGTCCTTCTTCCCCAGTAAAGACAAAGCTTGGGGCAGTCTGGGCTGATTCCTCACACCCTCTGCAGATGACAGGGCTTTAACACAATTTGGCTTAATACCACAAAAACCAGCATCAGCTTCGAGAAGCGAGCCTCAGGCAAGGTGAAGGTTGCCAGCTGACACTTCAGTGACTGCCTTCTCCTGTTCTTGTTTGCTTAGGCTTCATGTTCTGATACTGCAGACTGGCTCGTCTAGGACCGTAGAAGTAACATCGTCTCATTCAAAGACTGGGTTTCTAGGTATGGATTCTTGAAAATATGTAAGAAATGGACACAAAAATGGAATATGAAGGGATAGAAAAAGGGGAAAATAGTTTAAGATTTTTTTTAAAAAAGGAGAAAATCCTATTAAAGTATGTATTGGGGAATTCATCTGGGAATTACCTTCATACCTGGTCTGAATTTATCCCCTTATCTTTGCTGCCATGCCTCCTTTTTACCTTAGGGAAGAAAAAGCCAGAAGCACACTCTTTTCAAGATACTATACCCATTAAAAGTACTAATGTGTGATTCAAACAGAGCAAAAGGCAAAGACTAGGAAAACACCCCAGTTGTTGACCACTAAACTTCCTTAGCTGACTTTCCTTCAGCTGACTCAGATTCTTCTTTTCCTTTCTTGAAATGTTAGCAGTACTGATGAGTTAAACACTTGTTACTTTTCAGTCAGTCCAGAACTGCTTGATTCTATGAACGTGGCTATTTTAAAGTATTCTGGGATCTGTGTTATTTAATAATATTTAGCAGTAATAACATGAAGATCAGCATCATCCCACTAAGGTACCTTGACAGCATCCCTCTTACCTTGCTGAGGGACTCGCATGCGCTACCTCAGGAGCACCGCTGTGCCATCTTGGATGTCTTCTTCCTAGAAGCATTGTCATTCTGTCACAACACTGAAATAATTTCCAATTGATAGATATACTGGAGACTGGACAAGAAGCAAGAACCACAAATCCATAAGTTCTACCTAGCAAGGCCTGTGTCCACCTGAACACTGCTCTGCCTTCAGCTGTTTTTTCAGTTCAGAGGACTTTGGGAGTGGGATGTGGAAAAGTTCATCTGCCAATACTGTTCTCTGAACATCTTTCACATGGACTGGACTTGTCAGCAAATAATCTACCTCAAATTCTAATAATGTACGTTACTGTAACGGAAGAAGGCATAGCCTGATAAAGCTAGGCGAGAAGATAGAAGATCTGATTATCAATGTATTGTTGAGTAAAGAGGTGTTTCAGTGACAGGACAGTGCATTTCTCCAGGTGTACAGCAAAAGCGATGAATGAAGTTGGTCAAACTCCCAGGTGAGGACCCACTTCCCCTGCCGCTGCAGTAACCCACCCGGCAGCCTGGGGGAGGCTTTCAGGCTGGCTGCATTTGGTCACTTCTTATGGTCCTGCTGGAAATGCATTACACAAGTAATTTAATGGAATGATTATATTGCTGAGTGGGAGAGAGAAGAAAAGAAAAAATAGTTGAAGTCTGATGCCTCAATGTTGCAATAAAGTATCTCCAATTCCCTAAATAATAGGATAAGCGTATAGTAAAGGTAGGTTATGACTTAATCTAGCTTTCAGGTTTGTGATCAGCCAGGAAGAAACATGCGTGGCTGGCTGCGGTAGAGCTACGAGCAATAGTCTAGCAGCCAGAATGCACTTTCACAATTTATCCACGTGATGCTGTTTAGGGTGTGGTGTTTTAGCATAGAGCCCCGAGGGATCATGGCCTTGTGACCTCCAGAGGAATATAGGAGAGTCCTTTACCAAAAACTTCTAACACAGTAGCTGACCTTAACCAAATGGAGCAGAAGTGTAAAGATCATCACCTACTCTTGTAGGTGTCCACAAATACAAAACTCTGTCCTGGGACTGAAGACAGACTCGAGGGACGGAAAGGCTGTAGTCCCAGGATACAAACCCACCTGCAAGTCATCACTCTTCTCCATCCTCCTCCCCACCGATCCCAGGGAACGTTTTATTTTGAAACTCTCAGGCCCGTCTTGTCCCTTTAGATAGCTCTGCCCACAAGACCAAGGGAGAGAGTCCTTGGTGGCTCCAGAGCTCTAGTTTAGTCAGAGGTAAGCAGACCTGATGATGTTTGATGCTCCGCATTGTTTGGATGTTGCTGATGGAGCAGGTTAGAAGTGGAGGACACCTTTATCTTGGGATTAAACACCAAAGCCATGATGCGCCTAGGGGCTACAGACCAGGTGCCCCTGAGCCTCCTCCAGCCAAGCTTTTCAGTGGTATGTTTCCTTACACCTTGTCAAAGATATCAAATACATAAAAGCTGGAAACATTAACTTCACCCAGTTTACTTCACTGCTACCTCCCAACTCTGTGATTTCTGTGAGAATCTGAGCGATTAAGTGGAAAAGGAGGATATATTTTGTCTGAAGATAATAAATTCAGAAGAACATATGTCTTTCAAATAACAAGTGGAAGGATCTATGATACTATGATATGTGTTGGCTAGAAAAAAAAATATTACTTCCAAATTTATCATCCTTTTTTTGTTGTTACCCATTTACAAGGCAATATAAATAAGAATAGAGCATAGCTATAGATCAAATTATGTCCCAAGTTACATCCTCACCAAGTCTACACAGAGTTTCGTAAACTCAGTACACTGTGAGGATAATTATGAAACTGCCAAGAACTGTGCAATGATTGGGAACATGTTAATTATAAAAATATTATGTATTTAGACAGCACATTTAAAGTCACTTAAACATTTGGATTAAAACAGTTAAGTATTATTCCCATTGTATAAGATGAGGAATTAAGGCACAAAGGAATAAAACCCTGCTCAGCACAGCTCCTGAGTCAAAGCAACTAGTACCTTCTAGGAAACCAAACAGTTCTCATTTTGGAGAAGTCTTGAGGTTTCTGTTTAGGAGGAGAAACTAAGAAAAATGAGACAGATCAAGCCTTGTGGTCATTTTACAAAAGATATCCACTGGAATATGTATCACATATTGAAAATCAGACTCAAAGCAAGACCATCTTAAAAGAATCTGCTGTAACGATTTTACTACATAAACCACATCTATTCTTTTTCTTTTTCAGCCTCCAGTATCCGTAGCTTTTAAAACACACAAACATAACAACACTTTTCCTTCTGTTTTAAAGGCTGAAAACTGTCTGAGACTGAGAAATGTCTTGCTTTACAGAAAACAGAGTCTTCAGTGAAGGATGATAGCAGCTAAAAATCATAAAAACAGTAGCCAGAGCATAAATATTTAATATAAATCTTTATGGTTCTATATACTAGAAATGATTGCAGAAGAAACACAGATTTGTAGAACATGAGTTCTCTTCCAATAGTATTTTACAAGATTCAGCCTATCAGTACAATGACATTTTTGCAAGTATCAAAAAAATAAAGCAGAACAGTTACATTACACGGTCAAGACAACCAAAATAGTGATGTGCTTCACAAAATCTATACAAGTTAATCCTTAGCAGACCATCCTTGCTTGCCTCCAAACAAAAACGCTTGCTGCCAATGTTCTGGAGTTTTAAAATTTTTTTTAATTTTTTTTTTTTTTTTTTACAAAATTATGACTACTAGCTAAGAAAATGATGCACCTATGCTACTGCTCACCAGCCACTGATCAACTTGTTTAGGATTTAAGTATCAAGAACCTAAGATGCAAATCTGAAATGATGTGGGTTTGATGTAATCAAATCTTTGAGAGCAGTCCTTTAGCATCTTCAAGATACACAGTGGCAACGTTCTCCAGCTGAATGAGTTTCATGTGACTATTTTTTCCAGAAAAATTGTCTTCCCATGAACCTCCACTTAGCTTCCAATCGCCAGCAGCTTTAACTGATCTAAGCCCTGGAGCCCTCATTGCCACTTTTTCCTCTTCCTTTATTCTATCATGGTTAGTTTTCAGCTGGATCAGCTCCCGGTGCAGGCTTACCATGCGGCTGCATGAGCACCAGCGCTGGCAGAAGGAAGCAGGTAACAAGTGTGACCCAGGGAGGGAAGGAAAAGTAGGAGAGAAAGCCTCCCAGTCTTCATTCCATCAGCCCAGACTGCTGGGGAACTTTGCTGCAATCCCAGGTTTTCTTGTCAGTCTTCACATTCCGACTTTATACTATTCACAGAATGGATTTTAAAGTCCCTTTTAACTCCAATCCTCAAAACAATCATTTTGCCTGAAGATACTGATGGAACACCTGTGATGGATTACTTCTCCCAGAAAGAGGCATTTGTTTTCTAAAAACAAAGACATTTACCTCATTCTCAGGAGGTGAGGGCCATGAACAATTAGCTGTGCACTGCAGTCTGATGCTCACCTCATTGCCTGCGTGACTGAGATTGCTTTATTTCTTCTTGTATTGGTCTTTGATAACCAGTTTAAAGAAGTTTAATGGCATGAAACATGGAATTGGCATGACTGCAGATCAAAGGTACCATCTGTCGTCTTTGCCACACAGATCCATAGAAGCTCTTTCACGAGAAAAATACTGCTGCTTTAACTTAACGCTCTACTTGCAGTGGAAGATGTTATTTTAATATAAGTGATTAGTTTCTCTTTGCACCTGTTGGAACAAACTTGTCCAACTGAGCCAATATCATACCAGTAGGTATTGCCAGTTTTTAAAATTTTTTAAATTGACAATAGGTTGTGAATGTTTACTTTCTGGCCTTGACTTCTTGAATTCTATTAAATTCTAATTTAGCTATCTGTACTAGATTCATTTCAACTATGCAAACATTAATTTTACATTGACATTTTAGCTTTGCAAAGGTCTGCTCTCCAGGTCCTTCACATGGACCATACCAGGAGCACAACACAGCGAGGGGACAGAAGAAGGCACAGTTAACTTTTCTAATTCCCCACACTTAGGCGTACTCAGCGCTACTCCGGTCCTCACTCAGAAGCAAGAGAAATGACAGCAAGGGTCATGCGACTGGTTCAGTAGCCACAATTCCCTGCCATACAGGCATCTTATCACAGGCAGGGGCTCGCCTTAGTTTTCATATAAATTGTGAAGTTATGAATCTCATAATCTACTTTAATATACTAGCGATACGTGGTTGATTCAAAGACAAAGAGGAACAAAGGGTACAATTTGCAATGCGATGCTATAAGGAAGCCAGAACCAGGGTGAAAAAGAAAGGAATATGGGTATTAACTCAGCAGAGTCACAATATTTTTGTGTTTCTGCACAGCCTTCCTTACCGAACAAGCAAGCTCTACTGTTAAAGGCATTTCAGACTGCGGGCCCACATTACTGTTCTGCTGGTGGCAGGCGGGTTGATGAGATTTCCACCCACTCCACCTTCTCCTCATCCACTCCTTCCTGGTCCCTCTTCCCATCGGGGCTCAACGCTTTTTCAGCTGCACCAATCTAACCATCAGTACTGCCTTCGAACTCAGACATCGGAAAGAACTGCATTTGGGGAGGGGGGATGATGTGCTACGAAAAGGACACTTGCTTCTCACAGTGAGCGAGAGCAAACTGTTCCAACAGCTCTGCTGCCAGTGGCAGAGTGACCCCACACCGCACTCTATTCTCCTTCAGCACAGCACTCACTTAAATGCATTATCAAAAATACTCAGGTAAGTGCTTTGTTTAAAGAAGATATGTCTCCTTAGCATGCCTTTGGTTGATACCACTCTTGTTTTGGGAGATTTTTAATCAGGTCTTGAAACATTCAGGCTTTCCGATACATTTCAAAAATCATGAAGAAATGTTTTCCTACACAGATGGAAGGTGAAATGAATCAAAGGTGGAAAGGAAGCCAATAACACCAAGTTGAATGCTATTCTAGCTATATAGCAGCTTAAGGAAGAAAAAGAAAAAAAGATTGAACGTGTATTGCCAAAATAAGTATGAAAGACGTTATTTTGCTGTCAGAACCAAGAATGCTCAAACCTAGAACAGAATACGTATGGACATGTAAAATTAACACATGATTACCACAATCAAGCAAAAGACCACAAATGAAATCATTAAGAACTTTGGAAATAGGATGTTGTGTTTTCTAAAAATACATAAAATTGGAATAAATGATACAGCTACAAGATTAACAGCTTAAGTTGCGCAATTCTACATTCAAGACTCAAGTAATGCACATAGTTGAGACTCCCCCGGTTATCAGTGTCAATTTTGATGTGCCCAATTTGATCCAGGCTCATGTCAGAGAAACAGTTAAGTCTCACCCTTGAGACTAAAACCTGGTAGATTGTAACTTTGCTTCATGCAAAGACCATTTATGCCAGAAATATTTGACATTTTTAGGAACTTACATTTTGAAGAAGGTAGACTCATTCTGCAGAGAAAGTTCAGAATGATAAATACCAGACTTGCAGCACATTAAAATATTAATATTTAATATGTTTACTAAGCAGTCTCTGTTATTTTTGTTGTGCATCTATGTAGAACTAAATCCCTCAATTTACATTTTCATTTCCCTCACTGATCTGATCGTCACAACACAGATACAGCTGTAAAGTGCAATGTATGCTTTGGTTTCCTTAACTAAAGAAAGCACTTTTAGAATGGTTTTAGCCAAAGATAGGACCCACGTGTTTAAGGACATTATTTGAACAGATGATCGTCTCTTTTTACAGTCAGAGAAAAGCGATGAACTATTTAACAAAAATCGTTCTGTTCTGGTAGACTAGTGAATTTTAAAGCAGTTCTATTATGTCAATTACTTGGAGAAATTTGGAAGAATTCCACATTAAACAAGGATTCACTGTTAAACTAATTTAAAAATCTCAGATTTAGATTTACATTTTAACGAACAACTAAAAAATAGTTGGCAAACCATGTAGCAATTCAGATACAAGCTGACCATTTTCAAAATCTATAAATATTTCCAGAACCATCTTGCCGACATAAAAACAGGAAGGAACGGGGATGGTTACAGGGTTCACACGTCTGCGCAAAAGCATATATAAAGGTAATGTTATGTACATTTTATTTCAATAAAGACATAAGACAAACAGCGTAAAGATGCCCAGATGCCCTAAAGATAAATACATTTAAAAGATTCTCATTAAAATGAATCTGTAGTATTTCTTTCCTGCAAGCAAAATACCTTTCTTTAAATACAAAAAAAATCAGTATTCTGAATTGCAAATGTTTTCACTTTTTTGCAGAAAATCTGCCATGATGGTTTTCTTTTTTAATGAATAAGGATTTTCCACAAAACAGGCTTGCTCTACATGCTAATTTTTTTAAACAGTTCAGTGACACAATGTGCTAGCTACATACACAACAGATAATATAGTAAGAAAACACTCAACCTGATGAAAAGTTAAAATCTTCATTAATACACTGGAAAAAGTTGACATAACTCATGCCTTTTAAAATCAAAAATACAAAAATTAAATGTTTTCCTAAAAAGATTTTCCTTATTTTAAGGACTCATTTGAAAATGAAGCTGCATGTAATTTGTACAATAAAATTGTACAAGTAAACAGGTAATATACATAAAAAATTAATTGACATACTTCTCAATTATCAGTTGTCCACCTTTAATTTCCAATACTGTACTTTCTTAACAAGCATACAAAATATCAAACTTCTCTTTAGAAAAAGTGCCGTTCTGTGACATCTTTTACACAAAAACAGTCTGAGCCTGTGGCGTGTTAATGCAGTCGAGAGGCAAAGCATCCTAACTTTTACAAATTATACCTTCCATAAAAAGCCTCCTGAAAAGGAGATTACACACCATTATAAAAATATCAACCTCTTGTAGTAGCTGCATTAGAGAACCAAGGCTGAAAGACTATTTCCATATAGCATAGAAAACCACTATGATAGCAGACTGACTGCGTCGGTGGCGTGGGAGTGTACTGTACCACAGGATTATGCATAGTTACTGCCAGGTACCTTCGCTGTCACACAGAGTTTAAAACTGATTGTAATGCAGAGTGTCACAGGGGTACCATCAGCCCATGCAAAACATCTTAAAATACTGAGCCACTGTGCAGAATACTTCAATCTTGGAGGAAACAGAAGGCAGCAGTAATTGAATTGCATCAAACCTAAGAGGTGACCAAACTAGTTCTCCTTTCAAGATTTGCATGCACAGCATAGTCTGAGGTATTCCTTGTCCATCAGTTGTTTGTGCCACTGCAAGATATTGTCTGTCCAGAGTACATGCCATCACAATGGTTTAAAATATTCTGAATATTAGTAATTCTTATATTCTTCTTATCTAGCCAGTCTCTTGATTTTTGAAAAGATTTCAACTACAGTAGAATATTACAGAAAGAAAATATAAATGCAGGGTTTTTCTTTCTAAATGAAACTTACATGGACTAAAACTAGAGAATATTTTTAAACAAATATACAGTATGCAGGCAGACGAAGCAGGAAAACGGCCATCCAACTGTTTAATAAAAAACTAAGAAAATTTGGCTATTTCCAGAAAAACTATGAAGCGCCTCAACTAAAAGGAATGCATAATGAAATTCTAATCTAATACAGGTCAAAAATGTAAAAAGGTTATAAACCTTAACAGGAAAAATAAAACAACTTTTACTGGCCATTCCTGTTGAAATGAGAATCTTAAAAGTAACAGAAAAGTGGCTACAAACCCACTTAGAGCACCGAACAGAGAGAAAATAAGAGTCCATTTTCAATCTCTGTTATATCATAAAATCCTGTGTTTCTACAGGTCAAACTGCTGGTGGCAGAAACAGAATTCTTTATAAACTGCAGATGTCCTGTACATAAAAAAAATTCATTGGAGTTGCACTAGTTCTAAAGACTTTTCTGTTCTAGCCTACCTACTGTGTTGTACTGTATTGTACTGAATGTATTCAATCTCAGATATATAAAGTCTCTTTCTGTAACCCTTGATTATTGTTGGGCACCAAAGATAAGAAAAGCAAGACGGGGTACAAAAATGCAAAATTTCAACAGTAATGGCAATGTTTTGTTTTAGTCCAAAAGGGTCCTGCATTTTCTCCCCCTTCAGTAATTAGACAAAAGGCTTTAATCTGGGGGTAGCAAGTCATGCAAGCGAAATCTGTCTCTGATGTGAGGTCGGACATCTTCGTTCTGTAGGGGGGTGGAAAAAAAAGTGTGGGTTTTAGGAGAATGAACACATCTATAAATCAGATTTTAACAGGGTCAATTTTCTAATACCAGTATTTTAATATAAGAAATATAAGCCACAAATAGATGTCATTATAAGAGACTTACAGAAATAACTACATAACATTCACAACAATTTAGGAGTACTTTATTTGCATTTTAAGAAAAAAGGCACACATTACAGCCAACAATAGGCATTATTTAATCTAAATGCCTACAGATTCTCAATTGCATTATGGTTGATGTTACAATTCTCCATTTCTTGATCAAAAGCATAGTTAGAAATAATGATAGTCTGCCTTTTGCTATGTAAATAAGTCCTTGTGCATACGTTGAAATACTGCCCAGAGTATCCTTTTCAAAAAGAGACATACATGACTTTCAGCAGTCTAAATCTCAGTGACTCAAAACATCTTAAAATATGTGAAAATATTTAAAAGAGCTAACTAACATTTGGGGGAAGGTGCGGGGGGGGGGCAAATAAAGGAAACACTTACCAGCTCTACAAGTTTCTCCAGAAATGGAATCAATTTTAGGAGTTCGTTGTCATTTTTATCCATGAACCAGCTTTCTATAGGAATTCCATTTGAAAGCTAAAGTTAAAAAAAAAAAAAAAAAATTAAAAAACCCAAACCATCAACACATGATTTATACTTAATTAATCTACAAATATGACTTGTAAAATAGCGTTTTGGGGAAAAAAATGTTTCCGAGCTAGGGTTTATTCATATGTATTTTCCCGCTTTAGTTTGTATCAAAATTCACTTCCAAAATATCTCCTTGCTTTGCATACATCACTACAAAAATTTCCACATCAAAGCTGAAATAGAACTAGCTCTAAAAGTTCTGCTGAACTGAAAAGCGTTGGTATTTTGAGAAAATTTTATGTTAAAACACACATGGATACTAACTGTGTACTGGCAAATGAGACTAAGTCAAACAGGTTTTTGGTTTTTTGCTTCTTTAATGTAGGTGAGACCACAGAGATCACACTCTGCACTTCTTATCTATATAATAGGACTAACTGGAATAGTAACATACCATACTTCTGGGAAAATCTAAATCATAGGGTATATAACTTTGTAACATTTAAGCATAAGCAATTTTCACAGCTGTGTGTCATTTCAACCAGTGATTTGTTCTTAATCATTTCACTAGCATTAAAAACTAAATCCACAATAGAGTCCAAGCAACAGACTTAGCAGACTGGTAGTTTCCTTAGAAAAGCTGAATGAGAAGTAAAGCCGACTGGTTATATACTCTGTTCATATAAGAAGTCACTTAGTTTGCACTTGATCAGCTCTTCACAAAAATCAAAGAAAAGTAAGCAAACCTGAGTAATTTGTTACAGTTTGGCACAAAACTCAAATAAGGAGTTAAATCAAAATGTAGTGTTTCACTGGCTTCCTTCAGAAAGTTGTCTGCTGTATCTGAGAAGTTTGCTGACAGCAGCGTCCTTACCTGATAAGCGAAGGCTTGCGGTGAATTGTCAATTATGATCGTTTTTGAAAGATCTCTACCAAGAATGTTTAAATCCTTTATGTAATTTCCTTGTACACAAACACAATGCTCACGGAAAAGTCGATGCCTGTGATTAAAGTAAAATACTAATTAATGAGACAAATTACAACACCTACATTGCATGTGGAAAAAGAAAAGTTAACTTTGCCAAATGGTACCCAGTTTTTTTCTCTTCTGATCTACTTAGCTCATTTTAAAGATTTGTTCCCTTTTTCCATTCTCTTTTGAGCTTTTTGCTGGTAAAATTACTAGTTAAGGTGATATTATATTAATGTAGTTCTGCAGGTGGTTGTTTGTATTTAAACAGAAAAGCTAAACTCAGATGTAACAAATATTTGTCAACAGGGTTTTGCTTTCTAACCTTTTTTGCAGATGGATCGACAAAGGGACCCAAAATACTCAAATGATTGCGCAAGGCCCCAAGATCAGAGATTAGTTCTGCACGGGAGCCAATTTATCGGGTTTTATTATTTTGTTCCAACTGTTACAGTACACAGCCTCCCTATGCCACTGCATGCTAGAACACAAACTATCAGAAGAAATGTTTTCTTTTTTATGTTACCTCTGTTCGCAATTAACCTATTTCAGTTATTAGAGCTTGAAAAAAAGCCTTGAGGCCAAAACATTCCATCAACTTCTTCCTTTCCAGTTAGTCTACTCCCTTTTAATTTATTACAGAAGAAATGGTTGGATAGACTAAAAGGACTCAGATTAAAAAAATACCAGGAATAAAACTCACATTTCATGAAATATCAACATAATTGTCATTTAAAAATAAATTGTAAACTAGACAGATTTTGAGTTTTACACAGTCATGTTACAATGCAGTTTCTTTAAGGCTGCTTATATTTTTAAATGAAGTTTTTAGAAGCTGTACATAGTGTGCTTAATTTCATAAAGGGGTTGACTTCCTAATGTTGCTATGGAGGAAAATAAGCTCATGCCTCAGCAGCAAATGAATTTATATATAGATTCTGAGTCACACGTGTGGAGTGCCTGACAAGTCTACCTTTAGGCTAATGCCAAAACTAATCATGACTTGATGTCAGCTTTTCAGTGGCACATGAATCACAACTAAATTCATGCATCACATGAATCTTCCTGCAAATTCTTAGAATACTGTTTGGCTGTACATTTTATTATCTTTTTCCTGTTCCTAACACAGTTAAAACTGCAGTCCTGAATCATACATATTAGGTTCTTGAAGAAAGATTTTTAACGCTACGATGCGCACTTAGACTGTAAGTGCAAATATCTTACTTGTTCATGCGTCCCATTTGGCTGTGTGATTCAGCTAGGCTCAGATATTCCAATGACTGAAAGTATTTGAAGGTCTAGTTTTGTTTGTCCGTTCAAAACCCAGTGGCAAGTAAGTTTACCAAAACCAAACTAGGATTCTGTTGTGCGTAAAACAAGCAATAAGATGACCATCCCCAGATGAAACTTAGTGAACAGTTTATCTTTACTCTCTTAAGGAAATGAGTTATGATGTGCCTAAACTACCAAGTGAAAACAACGGATGCAACCACTGTCTCAGTCCAAATGGTAATTTTATTATGCATGTCAAGAAAATCAAGTTTTCACTGAAGACTATTACAATAAAATGATGCAAGGATGTGATTTGCCTGTGATGTCCCAGGTACAGAATTTATACAGTTCTGACTATAATCAGGTACAGTTGTTTACTTCCCTTACTTGGGACACCCAATGTAGGGTGAATCCCTGAGAAGATCCCTCTTTGATTTCAACTTTCCCCACATAACAGTCCACCTTCCAGATAAGAATAACGGAAAGAATCTCATCAGGCAGAATTTCTTTACACCTTGAGGAACTGTTCTTGAGAAATGCCAAGCACTTCCAAACAAAGCTCAGTATTAAGAAAAGAAATGAAAAACCAAAACAACTCTACTACAAAACCCACAAACAAATTATTTTGTGATTGAATAAGAAATAAAAACATGCTGATTGTAAAGATAACTATAATAATTTATAAAAAATAAATCAAGTCTGAATAGTTTAAAAGTAATCTAATACTCAGTTCATTTTCTTTATCCGTAATGTGTATTCCAAAGCAGCTCAAACACATTTTTGATACATAAGAGGTCGTTTTCCGTCAGCAAGCCTAACATGCTACAGGGAATGCATGGGTACGGTTTTCGGCCAGAGTGCAATGTAAAGCTGCCTGGGTTTATCTTCTCACCAAAGCAATATCTCAATCACTTAATTTCATTTTTCTCTCACTCTTAGTCCAGACAAAACAACAAAGAATCAGTTTAGTGAGACACACTGCAATAACAAACATGTCATAGTCACTTTCTTCATCACATTTGTTAGGAAATAGTACTTAGCTTGCTTACAACAGATATGTTCACTATTTTTTATTTTTACCTGACCAGTTGCTTTTTAGGGTCTAGTATGTTCAATAACTTGTCTGCATACACCTTCTTAGAAGCAGTAAAAAGAATGATCTGTGGATTAAAGGAGAAAAAAATATTTTAGATATAAGTATGTGAATATAATTTTTAAATGAAATTCAAAGATAATGTCTAATTGTTTTTACCTCATAAATCTGAGACATACGTTCCAGGAATTCTCGGAAGAATGGCCTTAACCGGACATAAACCTGAAGCAGAGATGGACTTTATTAAAGATCCAAAATACTTCAGCTATCACCCACACTACTAAGTATCAGTTTGTAAAGATTAGGTCAAAATGAGCATTATGAATAAAGTAAACAGCAAATATTAACATCCTACAGAATAATAACTCAATTAAAACAATATTAAATTAGCTTGCAGCCTAAGCAGCTATAAGTGAAAGCGTAAGATGATAAAATTAGGCTTAGCAAATTTACTGGAAAATTTGATGGAATCAGAACTAATTTTAATTAAAAGTTGGACAATCTCTAAAAGAAAAAATGAAACTAGTTGCTTTGACTAAAGATTTTGAATTGAATTAGCTTTCACCAGCTGGGCAACATCAGTTCAATTACTACATAATGTGTGCCAGCACATAAATTAATCTTCTTAATAACCTTCTTCCACTAAGAATTACACATTGAATATGGGGGCGTCAGAAGTGATCGGGGGGTGGGGGGTGGGGGGAAGGCTTCAGCTGTTTTCAAATTTCCATAAATTCAAATTCCACTGGCAGAGAACTGCACACATACATAAATTATTCCCTGTAAAAAACCGTAGACTCGTGAGAAGAGATACCTAGTTAGGAGACTTCTGCATCTCTCTCTGATTTAACTCAAAACAGAAGACTTGGGCTCACATGGAAACATCTGTGTAAATCTGTAGCTTCAGGGCCATGGCCCAACATCACGGCAGATGTGAGGGCACATATCAAGCACTATTCTATTCCTGTGGCATAACGTTCAAATTTACATTTGAATGATCACCTGGTGTGGTGTTTGGCACGGATCTGGACTTGACCTAAACCAGCAGCGATGACACATGCCAAGGGGTGGAAATGACAACGTTATGCTCTGCTTACCTTTCTTTTTGGTTCAGAGATTGCCCACGTATAGGATTACAGAGTTTTGAGGAAAGAGTTACTAAAATATCCAGAAAGAGAAGGGAGCGTACCAAATTTCTTTTAATTTCAACCAAGGTAATTTCAGCTTTATCAACTTTTTAACAGCCCGTCAGGAATAGGCTTAAATTTACCTTTGAATCACAGTAAATATCCACAAAGGCTTTGTATTACTTACGCTGAACTGTATCAAATTTATATGTGGACACAACCAAGTGACCAGAGGGGAAAAAAAGGGGAATAGTTTAAGTGAATACAAAATTTCATGTTGTTAGCACATGCTACAATTATCTTCGTCCTTTAAAGGAAGCACATATTTCTAAACCAATGTGAATTTCATTACTTAGCTTAAAATTCGGTAAGGCTTTTATTTGTTTCTTTCTTAAAGTGTCTAAAGTTCTGACTTAAGTTTGCAGAGTGACCAATTTTCATTCTTTTTCTTCCACTAGAAGCAATCAAATCAGACAATCTGATCATGTCTGGTAATAGGATCTCTCTACTTCTGGCATGTGAAGATACATTTGTTGACTATGCAGACAATGTCTACTTCCCTTTGCATTCTGGCAAACCCACATTTGGAGGCAAGCAAGTAAGTATTCCTCAAATCCGCTATCAAGAATGGTTTGGAGAGACTGCACCCAGTGCTTGACATGTTTCTGGGCTGTATTTAACCAAGATAATTACCAAAAAGCCAACTTTCTAAATACAGAGTTGACAAGCGTGTCTTCACACAATGTTTTCTGATGGCACTAAAATATTTGTGAAAATGACACCTCATCTTGCCATAAAAAGGTAGTGAAGTTTTGCTCAAAGACTAGATGGCATGTTTACCTTATCACAAGAACATATGTGATGAATTAATACAGAGTCTCCAGGTGACCAGACGTTAACTAACATTCAAGTTGTCTGCGATTGTAGATTCAGGGCAAATTGTTCACACTGAATGTTTGCTCTCTATCTAGCAAGCACATAACGCAGCCAGCAACCTCCGTAGTTGTAACCCAGAGTTTAAGGGAAGGTAAGTTTTAATTTGCAAATGGCAAAAGGATTATTCTGTTCATGTCATTTTTCCTGAGTAAATATTTACTTTATTGTGACCTAAATCTTTCTCTTCAAACCTAAAAAAGTAAGTCACAGAAAGGATATCGAATGTTTTCACTGCACACAAGATAACAGTTGCTAATAATGGTAGGTAAAGAGCATGATACTTGGTTCTAAGTTTTCTTCAAGAGCTTGATTTCAAATTAACAAGCCTATTCTCTGTTATGGAAGAAACAGAGATGTCATTTAAGAAACAGTCTCTTCAACATCTCTTCTACAAACTCTCCTGGCAACCAAAGCAGTAAGCTAAGGTATCTGTCAATATTTCAACTGCCACTAATATAAATAAAAACATTTTCTATGTAATTTATTGTTCCTTTTAAATCTGGATTGAATTATGTTGGTCACAATGGCCAGTTAAAAGAATTTTAAAAATCATTCAACTGGATCAGAGAACAGTTATGGCTGCTTGGGCTCCTCACATGTGCACACTCTTTCTGGTTTATTTTTTAGTTTGTTTAGCCTGTGGATAATTGCAGCATCTTTGTAATGTGTTCTATTTTAGATTACTGCCACATAGTTTTAGGTGTGTGTCTATCTTAATATAATATCTATCTTAATATTAATCTTTCTCTAGGAATATAACATGTGAATGCAAACAAGAAATCCAGGGAAAATAATTTCTTTGTAGAATATGTATTTCTAATTACAGCTTACACACACACATATATAATTCAACAATGACATCGATGGCAGATTCACTGCTCTGTCTTTACTGGTTTGTGACACTCTGGCACAACATAAGGCAACCACATCATTACACTGAGCTACGACGAGCTGACACACTCCGGGTAACCAAAGTAGAAGAATTAAGTAACCAAAGTAGAACAAAACATATCCATCACTCCAATAATTAGATCTAACATGAAAGATAATTTTTGAAAATATAGATAGGAGTCTAATAATAATTTTCACCATTTTTAATGACTTAAAAGTTTGTCAACAGAGATACATGATATCATCTACTTCGAAGTGACTTATACTCATAAATTAATAACATATATGAAAAGCCCTCTCAAAGATTTTTGGTGGGGTTTTTTTGTTTGTTGTTCCCCCCTCAAATGATCATCATATCCCATTATTTCAATGGCAATAAAACCTAAATGTGCGAAATCAAAATTGTCATTCAATGTCCTCCTTGTTTCCAATACACAGGACTAATTCTTTGAAGGTGGAATTGGAAGGAAACATTCCTTTCATGCATTAAAAAACCCCAACAAAAAACATGTATTCTACTTGGTGTCAAAATCTCTGAAATCACACTAATGAATTTTAGTATACCTGTAACATCTCTCTATACCTGATGATTCTACCACCATTTTACAAGGTGAAAACCAGAGACAAGTTAGTTAACTTGCCCATGTGAAGCTGCACGTACCCACTGCACTTCCAAGATGAGCACTCTGCAGCATGGCAAGACCCCCTGCCCGGCCCAGCTGTGTCCACATACCCCAGGTGACCTTGGGGCATGCCAGACACCAGTACCAGGCTAACCTCAGTGCTCCTACTCTTACCTGAAATAGCCTTGACACAGTCTGCTGCAAGGACAGATGGCACATGCAGACAGACTGAGTTCAGACCGCACAAGAGACACCGCAATGCACCGAGCTGGGTCTTGCCCCAGGCCTGACAGCGGGCTGGACTTGCCAGGTAAACAAGCCCGAATCATTTCCAACTGGACCGTGTCTTAAGTGACTCAAGACAAAGACCATCTCATAACCAGACAGAACTGCCTGAAGTGTAGCTGGCCACGGCTCTTCAAGGGGCAAAAGTGCAATTCTAGGGATTCTACTGAACCAAAATTAAGTCTTCCCAACCTAAGACCAGATTACTTTGTGGATGCTGCCCAAGATTCACTAAAGTTTCCTGGCTTTCAGATCCAAAGCTTGATGGGTTTTCTGTTATTTCTGAGAGACAGACAGAGTGGAGTTCATTAGAAGGGAGAGCCAGAATTCACATGCATTGTTTGCCTCATTCCACTGCAGTAACAAAATAAAGCATCTAAGTCGTTGGCGACAGTAAGATGGAATACATGTAACACTATATTCAATAACCTGCAAGTGACCTATGGAGTTCCAGAACATCTTTCAAGGATCACAAAGATCAAAGGGAATTATTCTGTGATAGATCAGTACAGATGCATTTCAACTGAAGAACTGAGTGAAAACATCTGCCTTTTGACTATGGCCTACTAATGCACGGAAGGTACCCTTTGAGTGGAACAGAGGGTGAGATGATCTCATGTCTGCGACTTGAAGCCGGCAACAGAACAAAACCTCTTTACCAAGAAAAGAAAAAGATAAATTTCTTTGTAAGATAAGCTGCTTATCTTATTATGTAAAGTAATACAAAGAGGACAAAGTCTAAAGTCTACGGTTGAAGAGCTGAAAATTTATTTTTGCTTTCCAGTCAGATGTAAGATAGCACTTAACAGATATGGTACTTAAGAAAACTTCAGCTTTGCAAAGACTGTATTTTTACTAAGTCCAAAACTTAAACACTGGCATAACTTATAGATTTTCTTTTCAATCAAGAAAACACAAACAAATTTATTGTCTCAAAAGCTTGACGTAAGTAAGCCCAACTGTAACCATTTCACAGATTTTTCTTTTTTTTTTTTTTAAACAGAAATCAGTGAGTGTAAGTGACTTATGATTTAAAAAAACCTATGTCAGTCCTGGAATCACACGGTAATTTTTAAGTTTGCAGAACACTACTCTGTGCTCAGACATTAAATAGTTCTTCTCTTCTGCATAACTCCAGATAAGTTGTGAGAAATAAATTATGAGCAAACAAGCCCATATTTTTAGAAACCTTTCTTTAAAAACAGACCGCACTTACAATCACTGAAACAAGCAACAACAGAGCTGAGTTCCTGGATGTGAAACTTGTGCTTGACTCACATGCCAATGGAGCTTAGCTTTATTTTATAACAGACCTTCTAGAACCCACCTCAGTCTGATTCTTACTGTTGTAGTATCCTACAATGGCCAGTTCTGGAGCATCTTTTCAAGAAAGCGCCTGGTTTATCATCACACTATTACTGCAAAAGCATTGGCTTGATGCCTTCACATGGGTAAGAAAATTGAAATGCTATGAACCAGGCTCACATTTCCAGTATTAGTCAGACTTAATGTGAGAAAGATAAGATATTCAGTAGGAAAATGAGCACTGAGCTAGCTTCTACTCCTTCTTAAAAAATAAATAGATAATTACCTAATATTTCTGGAAAACCTACATGAAAGTGGTATATATTTTGATACTAATGGAAAACACCTTCAGAAATGTCTCTTCCATGTCTAGTATTGTTGTCAGTGGTTATATTATGCAATACTTTATATATAGTAACTTGCTGACTTCTACTTTGCTCGTACAGCCTAGTGTCTGTTTCTCTGTTACCAGCTGAAATGACTTTCAAAATTAAATATGGAGATACAAAATTAATACAGGACTATACCAGAGGTGATGGTCAAATTGATAAGCAAAAGAAATACATTTTAAAAGCTGATAAATAGCTAATCACTGACCAAAAACACTAAGAAGAGAATGAAATACCAACAGAATTCTTTTCAACTTTTATCACAGATTATTTGTCTTTTTGCATATTATACCCTAGTTAAAGATGAACTTAATTGTATCCTTAAAATATGCCTTGGTTATTATCTGTTACCTAGCAAGAGGTGAATGTTTTGTCAGTGTCTAGTGTGATGTAAAACCAGCAAAACAGAACATAGCGATCATGAGAGTGTGCTCAAAGACAGTGGCTGACTTTCTCAAGCCTGCAAGAAGCTACTGTTCCTTGGCAAACCCAGGCCAGACTCTAGAGAGAGCTAAGAGAAAACTTATCCAGGACCCACATAGTAACTGTACTGTATCAAGGGCTATACAGGCTTGTGTACAATGCTGTTAAATAAAGCTTTAGAAATATTGTAAGTCACTCTTTCTGTTGACTTCAATTTCCTAAAGTCAAAATCACAGTTAGATCTCAGCATAAACATACAATTGCTAGAAGGACCACAGTTATAGACAGAAAGTACTGAAATCATACTGAGATCTCTTAAGAGAAGGAAGGAAAAAAATGAAGCTTTAGTCTTCCCGATTCTGTTAGCAGTGTCAAGAACCTCCAAAGAACTAATTCTCAGGCTCCTTCCAAGTTCAGCCTGGAGGAAACTGTGCTTGGCTGTCACCAAATAAGAGATAAGATAAACCCACGTTTAAAAATTATTTCAGCTTTTCAGATTCCAAGGGGTTTTATATGCAGCAGCAAAAAAAAACATTTTTAAAATCAGGAAAAATACCTGGACAAGTGTCCTTTTAAGGTGCCTGATGAATGGCTCATTCTCCAAAGATACTACAGTGGGGTCCAATACCGTGCGAACTACATGGTGGGGAAGCTGTTGCTACTCCCAGGTACATCACACAAAAGGACCTGAGAACAACAGCCTGGGTCAGTGCAGCATCTTTGGTAGTTGCTGGAAGAGAGTTCCTCCTTCCCATGCTTGTTCCTCTACGGTATGTCAATGTAAAACACACACAACTAACACCACCTCTTAAAGCAGAACAAAAACCTAAATCTAGCAGTCTCCACAAGACAATCAAAAATGACTCTAAGTACCAGACTCTCTCTGGGAGCAAAGAGGTAGAACTGGCACTGGCAAAGTGTACAGCAAGACTAACAGCCGCGACAAAAGCTAGTTAATGTGAGGCTCTGAAGATGTCTTCTATATAGCAAGAAACGAGCAACCAATGTGGATTGGTTTTCCCTGCCAAGGGAAGAAAGTTAACGGTCCGTGAGAAGCTGTTCCTGGGAAATGATACTGGCTGAACTGTCAGTGTTCCTGCCTCCACCTGCTGGCAAGGAGAAACGCTGCTGCTGAAGATCGCTGCTACAAAGATCATTCACACGCTCTTAACAACGAATGTTCACAACTGGAATCCATGACCGACACTACCACGTTGTGGGGGCAATAAACAGTGCTCCACAATATTTCTAATACAGCATAACCCACCTCACAAAAGCTGACACCTGCAGTTTATAACCCAGACAGTTGTTAAATGTCAGTTACTTCTCTCTCTTTAAACAAGATGATAACAAATACACACAGCAGGAATTCTTATGTTAAACAAAATAAGAAAGTATATATTTTTCTGTGCATGCTAATTACCTGGTAAATGACATCTTGAAAAAGAACTGGAAAAGTGAGTGCAGCATCTTCTAATTCATTTAGACTACAGTGCACTAATGTTTCATCCTATCAAAAAAATAAAAGATGGTATAAAAGAAAGAAAAGATTGTGAAAAGAATGTTGGAAATTGAAGTAGTTTTCTGGATTTTTAATGCTCATTTTAGGATAGGTTTATTTAGTCTGGAAAATTTATTTTTGTGCAAGTGCTGTCAAGATTGAAGAAGAATTCTTAGAATGAATTACACATTTCATTATTCTTGCAGGTTTTGAAAAATTTCACTTAGAATTATGTGCTGGGGCATAACTATAAGAAGATATTTTCATTTTGCAGACTATCCTGTCATTCAGTTCAAACCTGCATCTGTCGGTTTGAATAATCTATCCATTCATACAACCACTAGAGGACAGGCCAACTGATACTGTTCATGATAAAATAATGTTCCTGACATCACTATCAGGGTCTGAAACAACTTTCAAAACAGAGAGACTAAAAGAAATTATTATAAAGACAGATATGTTTTCTATGAATATTTTTAAAAGTGGATTTGTGCCCTCTAAGAATAAGAATGTTCTAAGAATTACAAGATTAATTCTTGATCAATCTTGATGCAAGACATATGAAGCCGAATTTTCCTATTTACTACATGTCATTTTTTTCCACATTGGATTTAAGAAAGCTTTATGGGGACAGACAACTCTTTGTTTGAGACAGTCAAAATGTTACTGCTTTTTTTTTTTGAACAGGATGTTAAGTATTCAACAAATACAGCAAGCGTTCTATTCTTGCCACTATTAATTTTTTTTTTTAATGCAGACTAACTAAAAATACTAAAAATTGTGTAACATTCAACAAGGCCTTTTTGTTTAAAGCAAACATGACTAATTTCAGCAACAAACAAAATAAATGAAATGCTACATACCCCCTGCTTTTGGTATGTGTTTATAAAGATATTTACCAAGTCTAGAACTAATGAAAATTCTGGTGTGCTTCTTGTTTTCAGTGGAAGAGCTGGCTTCCTGTTAAGTTGTTCTTCTGTTAGTGGTGGAACATGTTTGATGAAATAATATCTGAAAAGAATACAGATTTTGCTGTAGAAATGTATATACATTATTTAACTGGTAATGTTGTAGCCCAACTTAATATTTCAAATATTTAAGGCTGCACAAGAAATAAGTATTTTAAATTGAAAAAAACCCACATCAATATACACTTATCAGTTTAATATTTTCAGTACAAATGTTAGCACTTACGGATCAAAGACTTCCCAGTCTTCTTCATAGGTGGCTTCTGCATGAGCTGATGAGTAGCCACTGTCTGGAGATACTGGTGCTAAAATTCAACGAAAATGACCAAAACAAAAAAATAAAACAAAAAACCACAAGAGCTAGTCTTATTAGTGCAGTTTTGAAAAGTGAAAATTTGCACTTGATACATGAGTGCCTCAAACAACAGTGGAAAAACTCTCCCTTCAGCCCCACCCTCTCAGTCCCCATATTTCCTCTGAAATAGCCTGCAGACCGTCTCAGGAAGAAGCTACCTGAGAGCTTGATGTCACGTCATGCTACAGAACTTCATGACCTGGCCAAACTGGAAGCACCCGAATGACACAGCAAGGCATCCATACAACCTCTGATGACATGAACTACCTGGATGTACATTCCAGCCTAAGAAGCTAGCAGAACTCTTCCAGTCTGCAGCTCGTTCTCACCTCATGTCTGAGGGGCCCTTCTGAAAGAAGGCAACAGACCAAATCAGAAGGTCTTGACTGGACCTGTGGATCACACATCAGCCCCGCTACTTAGAGGTTAAACTTACTTCCTTGAAAGGAGTCCTCGTAAACCTCAGTACTACTTAACTACCAGTGTTTCAAGGGCCTAGGGAGGATTTAGAGAACTGTTAAGAATTTGATGCCATCCACAAAGAGGAGAAGCTGAATTTTATGGATACGATTTTTGTCAAAAAAGATGTATGATGAGACTTTTGAAGAAAACATGGAAAATTAATGTAGGATCTATATGTTCCTCATTCACCTCACTATGTTGTTCTAAGATATCAAAATGTTGCAAATTTCTCTTTTGTGATCAGCAAGTCTAGGATGTGCATTTTTAATGGGGTTGGGGAGGGTGGTTCAATAATCATAAAAATGCCTTTATTCTGGAATCTTTGTTTTCATTTAAAGAAATGTTATGAGGTCAACTGAGTTACACCAGGAATAGATGAGACTTGCCAAAACTGTGTCTTTGGTGCATAAACCAGATTTGTCTATGAAACAAAAAAATCAATATTAATGCTGTTTGCATGCCCTAAGCAAATGTGAAATATTAATTTATACAAAATGCAGGTGCTAGAATTTCCCTAAGAGTACAAATTGCATACAGCTTCAACACCTGAGTCCAAGACAAGCACACATTTCTTACCTGTAAGTGGTGGCAGGTCACGGTCATTTGTTTCCTCCACTTCTTCTAAACCATTGTTGACAGTAGATCTGACCTGCACTGCTTGGCTAGTATAGGCTGCTCCATTGGTGGATGTTGCAGTACTTGTAGTAATCTCATCTACCTGTTCCATATCAAGCTGTTTGACTATTTCTTCAGCTTCAACAGCTTGTCCTGGAGAATCTGATCCTGATGTTCCTGAATTAAGATTTCAGTACACTCACAGTCATTATCTTTAAGCTGAGTTTCCTATCAGAATACTGACAGTCACTACTTAGCCACACAAAAAAACCCAGTTTCAGAATAACTGAAGATGGCTGCATTAGATTCACGTTACAAAAATGAGAACCAATATGAAGACCATGACAAATGCCTTTTTGTTTGGGACAAGGAACTTAATACCAATTTTTAAAACTGTTTTAAAAATAAAAGATACACCGCTAGATACTTACACCTATGAAAGAAATGTTCTAATGCATATAAACTTACTGCTTTTTTTATTAATGATCAACCTTTCTAAGAATTAAGGAGGCCTTTTACCTGGTAGTAGTAACTCTTGGTCTGTAAATCAGAATAAAAAGCGTACTGCCATTCAGAACAGCTTTTTCTTAAAAAGTATCTATCATCCTTAGCTTTAACACTATTGGCCTTTTAAATAATACTCACCATTTTTATTTGCTGGTGAAAAAAAATTGAAAACAGGAGAAAATATGGTTCCCAGTAATGTAGTTCGTGGGGGACTGCCAGTGGCAGGATTATCTTCTAATTTTCCATTTTGCTTTACATGTTGGTTTGTCATTTCGTAACTTCCGGCTTCTGTAAAAGAAAAGTTATGAAGTATAATACCATGCTTCTGTTTTTCAGTTACATCTTCTCTTTTATTGTTATTATTTTCACCATGGGAAAGACCCCTCGTGCTCATGTCTTCACAAGATCAAGTCCATAATTTATTATTCTCCACATATACACACACACACACACATATATATAAATATAATTATAAAGTAAAATAATTTTTACTTGTTATCACAGGTAACAAAGGACATAGAATTAAATAAATCTTCACATTACAAAACATAACACACAACAATTAAGGTTTTCTATAAATGTGCATGTACAGTAAAGTACATCCTAGAACTAAAAATTGCCATCTCATGGCTGAGATCCAAGACACAGTTCTGAGACTGAAATGAAAGAGAAGTTATTTACTTCACAGTAACAAGTCTTTGAGATGTCTGTCCATATGGAAGTAAGCAAATGTATTTTGTGCACATGAGCTGAGAACCTTTTTGTCAGCTGAGCCTGATGGAGCTGCACAAGTACTTCACACTTCCTATCGTTTCTATATAAAACGTAGGGTGTGCCAGCTGCAACTCAGTGCCTTCACTAATATGGAATATTTTAACTAAGAACTTCATACCACCGTAACAGTAACACGGGCTCAGTGTGCTCTACATGCATATCTCAGAACACTTGATTTAAGTCAATAGCTGCTCCTTCATCTTTGAGCATTGTCTGCATGTATCACACTAAGTGGGTGCATATCCATTATCTCTCCATAAGGCAAAAAACCCTTAATTAACAGTAGCAAATACTGGAAAAAGGGGTTTCTCCTAAAGCCATGTTACATAGACATCTGACAACAATCAAACAGGTAATTCTCTCATTGTAACCTTTCCATCACTGAAGTGACTCATTTGGAGCTCTATCCTCTACTTAGCTACAGATTTTGCAAACCTTGTTGGACTATGAAATCTTTGAGCCCCTGCCTTGCTGACAAACTTGGCAGAAACCAGATAATGGATTCCAAAGTTATTGGGGGAATGGAGAATGAAGGCATAACTGACAGGCAGCACAATCATACAAGTCTTGTTTCCTTAGAAAAGAAGTCTAAAAAATGTTTTTTTAGACTCAGATTTGGAACCAGAGCTGATACTTTAAATGTCATTGACCATTTTATCATGTCATTATTAGAGATATTCAAAAAGAAACAATTTTCACAGAGACATGGTCAAAAACTGGAACAGGGTTGTGGAATCTCCACCATTAGAGATATTCAGAACTTGACTAGACAAGGCTCTGAGCAGCCTGATCTAACTCCAAAGCCAGATCTCACTTCAAGGAGGATCAACATTGCTGTGAGGGAAGCAAGGGGACTGGCCCAGATGACCTTTAGAGGTCCCTTCCGATCTAAATTTTCCTATGATTCTATGACAGAAACATGTCTATGTGTTTGACAAGTGCTTTCAATATCTAAGGACACTTGGTTACTTCCACGAAGGTCATGAGTTGTGAAGTCATATTTCATTTTTTTGTGAGAAAATGGGAGAAGAGCTAAATCAAATAATTACAATTGGCTTTCTAGAATAATAATTTTTTAAAGAAGTTAAATTAGTTCCAAAATAGCTGGTCATGATCACATATCCAAATTGTTCTTACAAAGACACAATGGATGCATCTGAGAAGTAATGTTGGAACTGTTGCTTACAGTCTTAGAAATCTTATTTTGCTACTATTAGCTCAGCCTTGCTCTCGTGGAAGTCAATCACAAAACCCTTAACAACCTCCACCACTGAAGAAACGTCCTATATTAGTTAACAGCTGTAAGACTACTGAATCACCATTCAGCTGCAACAATATACGATTAGAATATTTACAAACCTCCATTCATTTGACTTTTCCGTCGTACTCGAGAGATCTGTTTATTAGGCTTTTCTCCTGTTTGAGGTGTGGATGTAATCAAGCTGTTATCTATATCCCGTTCAATTCTACTTCTTTTTGCAGGGTTTTCTCTTTCTTCCTTAAAACAGAAAAGGAGGAAAAAAGAAACATACTGAATAGTGCCTCTTTTCTCCATTGAATACTACCAGAAAATGTTAGCTGTTAGGGAAAGTTTCACAAAAGATCCATGTATTATTCTACTTCCAGATGCAGAATATGCAACATGTATCTGGCCAGCTGGAATTTTAAACTCATTTAAACTGACACAAGTCAAGGTAAATAGCAAAGTATCAGGAAAGAAAACTGTACTTGGAACTTCCGTAGTAGAAAAACTGTCTTTAAGTACTATTTCACTATTTAAGTGCTATGGAATTCGGGAAATGTAGAGGCAAGGCAAATAAAATTATGTGAAACTTGATTCCTCTGCCTGTTAAATATACAGGAAGTAAACTGCACAACAATATCCAATATGAAATTCTCCACCATGCTCCCAACATAAAGTGGCTTGCTAAATTGTATACAAGTATATAACTTGCTGCTATTCAATCCATATCAGATAGTACATGCAAAACTTAGCTGTTAAAAATGTTGTAAGCAAGGGTTATGACCCAATGATTCTTCTTACCTTTAAATAAATTACTGTTTTTCCCTGTGGCACTTACATGAACGACATAGAACCAAACATTTTTGCATATTTTCTGTGCATGAGTATATGTGTTGGCACACATGTTTAAGACAGGTTTCTTCCCTTTTTCCCCAAAGCACCCACTACAACTTAATAAAATGGCAATCTGAAATCTAAAACATGACCATCTAGAATACAGTGAAATGTAAGGTGTGAGACAATGCAAAATAAATGGAATTAAATATCAAAATAAATAACAAGGCCACAGACCGTATCAAAGTTAATTAAAATTTCAATTTTAGAATTACAATATTACCTTTCTGGAGCAGCTGTTTCACATCTTTAAAAAGAAAAGAGAAAAACAGTTTGTGTGCTCCAAAAAAAAAAGTAAATAGATCTTTTAGAAAAATTATTCTAAAGCCCATGCTAACAGTACAGTAGCTAAAAGAAATACTAACAAGAATGGAAATGTATTGACATCCATCATCAGAAGACAAGTGAACACCACTGATCCCAAAAGCTTCCTACTGGCAATGTCCTTGACCAACAACTTTGGTGAGAACAATCTAATTACTACCACTTAGAATTAATAATATTGTATATACCATAAATCCATATAATGACAGAAAACAGATGTCTCACTGAACTGATAAAAGAACAGTAAGGCATCTCATCTTCTAGGTCATTTGTTCAAATGTTCAACACTGGGGAAAAAAATGAGATAAATTAATTAACTTCTAAACGCTGTCCATTGGCCTTCATAAATGAGTTGTGCTGTCATTCTGCCTTATGAAAACAAGTGTAGAAACATTACAAAAATTACAACAAAACCAGGAAATCTGGCTGATGGTATCAGCAGATGCATGAAGAATTCACTAAATCTGGAGACCCCTTTCATCCTCCAGAAGAGGAGCCATCATGATGTAGTGGGAAAGCTCACATTGCTGTGCCCACGTTGTACTAGTTAATAGAATTCAAAGGTGAAATGACATATAATGTTATTTACTACTTGGTTTATACACTGAAAATGTTATTGCACAGATATAGAATTAAATGTACCTATTATATGTATTTATATAATGATCTGTTTGAATGCTATGATCTATTCAATGCAATATAACCTATTATTATCAATAACTGTGCCATAAGGAACGTGACAATGTCACACCGACACAAACATTTCATTTGTTTTTAGGTTGTTTTTGGAAACCATGTATGTATTAAGGAATGGCCTAAACTGAGACTAGAAGTAATGACAACGCATTCGAAGTCAATGCAATTTGTGACAGTGCTAGAACCCCCAAAATCAAACAAGTTTAGAGTAACTTGCAACAGCAAGTTCTACAACATTTCCAATGTTAACATTTAAAAATTTTAATAGTACTTCCTGTACGCATACATGTATCAGTTTTTCTGGTATATCAGATTTGTTGTTTTGTAAATGACAAATACTATTGCACACTCCATACTATTGCTGACTTGCATGGAGGCCATGAGTTAGCAAAAAACCTCAAGATCAGACCTACCACCATCCACATTCAAAGAGCCACATTTTAGTCTCTGGTTTCTCTAACTAAAGAGCTACAAGTTTTTTTCAGGTTTTGTTTGTTTAAGGAGTATTTCTACTAAGACATCTTTACAATACCAGATAAATGACCTATGACTATGATCAAAATTGTCAAGATATACTTGTTATGAAGACATTTATTGCTGTAAATCCATATAACCTCAGCAGTGATCTAGATTTTAACGTACCCATAAACGAACTACTATGCAAGTTGTACACATACACTATCTCAAGAGTTATAACGTTTCCATGGCAGCCACAAGACTACTTTGTTAAGTCATTAGCGCTTTGGAAGATAGCCCGACAGTATCAATATCATGCCATGGTAATGCCACTGGAACCACTCCAAGTCCTGCTACAGGCACAGGAGAGGACATGAAAGGAAAGAGAAGAAAAATGTGAGCATTTTAGACTCAAAAACCTGTCAAGAAAAAAATCCAAAGATTTGGGAGAGGAAGAGAAGAGGAGAAGAGAGTAAGTTAACAAAACTTTAAAGAGACAAAGGAAAGGAAAACCAGACATCTTTCTCTTATCTTAAAATTCCAAAGTAAAACGTTTTGCTTAGATTTCAGCATTTTGTTGCAGTGGTTTTGCAGCCAAAATGTTGCACTACTGAGCTACAATATAGATGCTGAATGTAAAATAGAATAATTGTCCTGGTTTAATGAAAAACAAAATAAATGTGCACTTAACCATTTATTTTTACTGAAGTATTTCTTTGTCATTACTTCAATGTTTCTATGATAGGTAATTAACACATACCATGAAATACTAAATTTCACTATGTTTTTGACAATTTAAGAATCTAATATTACTTAATTAAAATTATTTCGACTTCAGCTTGTTACAAAATTATTGTTTCAACACATAGTTCAAAAACCAGCAAATACTTCTGAATTTATATCATATTTTTATTTAACATAAAGTTAACCTGGGATACATTTTAATTCAGTTATGACTTCATGGCTACTCTTCTTTACAATTTACAGCTACATAATGTCAATATCTGGACTGCTGGGACTGAATGAAGTTGTTTTTTTTTTTAACTGGCGTCTCTTTACAGAAAAAAAAAATCACAGGCTTTTGAAGCAATTGCAAGGTTACATTCAGCCTATCAAAGTTTTATATATATATATACACACACACACACACACACACATATATATAAAATTCATCCTCAAAACATATATTCAACAGGTTTTAACATGTGAAGATCAGCAAGTTCAGATTTCTGTCTGGATCAAGACAGATGAGATCTAGTGGTTTAGCCCTGACAATGTTTGAATTTGATCCACTAAGTGGTGGCAGTGTTTACTGCAGTAATACACCGAGTAGTTGTATCAATTTCATGATAGTTGAATTTGTGAGGTTAGACCTTTATTGATTGAAGAACTCCTAAACAATTTTGGATAAAAAAAAAAAACACAACAAAAACAACTAAAAATATTCAGCAAATTTATGCTTACATACTTGCTTTTCTTAGTTGCCAGTACTAGTAATTCCCAAATTCAAAGAGTCCTTAAACCAGAAATTAAAAATCTACCAAATCTATTAGTCAACACTTTCACAAAGAAATACCTAGTTAATAAATCCTGTGATTTATTGGATTGTCTTAAATACACCTACAATTGACTCCTGTAGAGTTTGAAAGTCTGCTTTTTTTTTTTTAAATATCTGTTACCTGACATAACTAATCACAGGTACTTTTGCCTTCTAATTCTTTACAAGAATGTTTTGCTTCTACCATATTACACATGTTTATTTATTCTTAATAGAAATGGTTGTAAATCAAATTTAACTGAATACAACCCAATTAAAAACAAAAGAAGAAATCCACTGATGGTGTACCTTGGGTGTGCTTCCTTTAATAAACTTTTTGATTGAAGACAACAAGCCAGTTTCATTTTTCTGTGGTTTTCCTCCGCCAACAGGTAAGCTCTCTTCCACCTCCGAATGTTTCCTCTTTGCCCTCAAAGCACGTTGTGTGTGAATTTGATTCGACTGCTGAGAAGCTTTCCGCGTTCTCAGCCTCATTTTCATGTGTACCACATGTAAAGCTATAAAAGGAAAAAACAGGAATACTTAGTCATTGAAGAAATGTATTAAGCTTCAGATCATGAATTCAAAAAATTATATAACACTGACAGTGTTCTGATGCACTGAGCTTTTACATCCATATATATGGCCTAATTTAAATCAAAGAGAAGAGCTATTTAAGTTAAAGCATAACATTGGCAGAAGAACAAATGAATATAATCTGGCCATGGATACACCTAACCATTAGATCAAGGAGGTTTTTGCAGAACCCTCCAATCTGAGTAGTAGGAACAAAAAAAATCCACCTGCTTTTAAGATGAAAAGGATTGTATGGTGCCTGGTGTCTTCAGTATCAAATGACTAGACTCAATGACCTAGGCAGTCCTTTCCAGCTCTGTGTTCCTCACAATACTTCATTTTAAGTCTCTACATTAAATTTGAGATGAGGCATAAATCTAAATTCATGTCAAGTGTTCACAGAAGAAGAAATCATAGATGAGACTATGCATTCAATATGGGTGAGGACATAGCAGCTCAACAAAGGAACCTAAGATTGATCTTCAATACAACTGTATTCGGGAATAAAATTAGACCACAGGAAGACTCATGCAAGGGCAATATTTATTAAAGCAGAGTAAAAGGCCATTCCAGGGAATGTGACCCATTTATCTCCAACCTTCAATTGGACTGCTGGTATAGTCAAATTTGTGCATAAATATAACTGCTTTTCTGGACTGAGGGATATGCCTTCTTCAGCTGACTGAAGCTCACACTTGGGTTAATTTGAATGGGACTACTCATGTGCTTAAAATTATGCATATACTAGATCAGGAGCAGAAAAGAGTAGAACAAATTCATCTGAGTTGTAATGCACAGAAAAACTGTTAAGACAGTAATATGCGTTTTGTAGCTTAAGTCATGACAAAAAAAGCTTTTTTAAAGAAAAGCATATGCTTATTGCAACAGTAAACAGTATCTGCTTTTCTGATGTTCATTTAGCACATATCTTATTGCTGAATAGACAGAATAAATAATCTGTACAATTAAAATAGAAGTAATGTCACAACAGCTATCTTGTTTAAGAAAAGGCAATGGTGGCACTGGTATGTTTCACAGACATAGAAATACTGTGATAATATTTTTCAAAAACAGTCCAAAAACTGTACACAGTTGCATTTGTTTGCAGTTAGATAAATCTCAATCTCAAATGAAAGGTGTTCCAGATAAAGAAGAATAACATAACTGCTGACACCATTTTTAGAAGACTTAGCAGAAAAAGTACTCAACTGGTATCATCAAGAGTGCAATATTTTAGTTACATATAATATTTGTTTTAACTGCCAGCAAACATGGGATTTAATTTTTCATACGTACATGTCCAGCATTTTCCATCAGTAGTTAATACAACAACTGTTTACAGACAGGAAAAGGACAAGTCAAGATTCTTAAATGACTGAAGTAACTACAGCAAAAGTGGACTGATATGTGAGGTTTAAGGAAAGACAACAGAAACCATAGCCTAAATTTATAAAAACTGGTTCCTTACAATCTTGCGCCCTCTAGTAACAGAAGCATTAAAACTCTGAGTCCATGAGAGTGTCCTTTCGTTATTAATCTTTGCAATAAAATTTGCATTTAATTTAAAAGAATCTACTGTATTTGCAAAAAAGTAATGCAGAGAAATAATGAAAAAAATCCCCAAAGATTTTTAATCCAATTTTCTGTTCTTACTCCTTACCACTAGAAAAATAAAAAGATAAAAATAACATTCTTATACAAAGACATAAAATAAATATGCCTGTTATCAGAACTTGCATCTCGCCTTTTCTTTCTTATGAACTGCTGCCAGATTCATTTTTTTGGTATAATTTATAGTGGGAAGGATCCACAACATGAGACATATGCTCCTATTGTACTTCTGTAAAAATCAGGAGGACCTAATTATAAAATTGAAGAAATTATCAAACATCAACAGACAGGATGGTCCAAAGATACCTTAAAACATGTAATGTATTTTCACTTCAGAAATATTGAGGAAAGCATTATTTTTTATCAACATTGTGTGGATTAAATCATGTACTTTAAGTTAGTACAACTTACCAAAATCATATTATCCTAGGCGGCTGAAAAAAGAACAATTACATTTAAGGTTTCTCAGTGTTCTTGTATGTGGGAGATGAACTAATTCACAACCCTAGCAGGAAATAGCCTGAGACAGAAAATAGCCATTAAACTTTTAAACTGAATAGTTTAAATTTATCAATGTTTCAAGTTAAATAGTTAGCAATTTGTTGGAATGAAGTTAGAGAAAAACAACACTGTTTTGCCATGTTAAAAATATTCTTAAAACTCTCCAAGGAGCTCTAGTCCTTCCAGGCTTTGAAAAGGGAATTTTATTAAAGTATTATCAACCTGTTTAGGAATTAATTTGGTTGAATTATAACTCTGAAATTCTTCTATCTGTATAGTGCAAGGGGACACATATGAGATCACGGGCAGCAATCTCTAGGGCAGAGAAGTGAGCAGAGGAGTGTAGACAGCAGTCGTAAACACATCAACCATCCCAGCTTCAACTGGTTTCAAATGGGTATCAACAGCCCCAGCATGCTAAGCTCCTTCACATCTCTGACATGCCAGCCAGCCAGCCCTATGCCATCCAGAATGACTAACGAGTCTTTTTTTGCATTCCACAGGTTGAATGGATTTTTGTTTGCAAACCTTTCTGCCAGGGACAGGAACAGAGCAATGAGGCAGCCTATACCCATGATGGTCCCTTAGATACAGGACATGTTTATGCTGAGAAGTTGAGGAGTAGTGGTAAAAGGGGAATAAAATCAGAAAGACATAGGAAAAAAAGGTACAAGAATATGTAACCATCAGAGCAAACTTCTCAAAGGTACTTTAAGATATGGTAGGATGACATGAGGGAACCTAGTGGCTTGCTCCTGCTCCCTCCTCGTTTCCTTCCCACACTCATTTCTGAGTTCGTCTCCTCCTCAGAGACCAGGCTAGTCTGCTGAGCCAACAAGAGAAAAAAATTACTTCATTTTTATGCCAGTTAAATCCGTTTATAAAGGGAATCAATGGGCATCCAAGTAATGCAACAGAGCAGGTGGTGGAGAACACACAGCACACCTCACAAGCGACATAGCTAGACATCACACAGCCTACTGAGCTGGTGTGTTTTGGAGAGCTGAATAGGACAAAAGTCCAAAGATGGATGGAGGGCAGCTGGGAATCACTAGAGGCTCCATTCTCAGAGTACTCACTGTGATGAAGCACAGGGTTCAAAGTGGACCTGATGTCTTGGAGCAAACAGGTAGGCAGTGTGTGCCCGAAGCCAAGTCCCAAGCAAGCGGTATGGAGCGCAGTCAGTCCCACCAACTGCAGTCCAAGAACTCCCTGATCTCTGTGACATCTGCCAAGGCCATCACAGCATCATTTAAGATCATCAAGTCCAACCGTTAACCTAACACTGCCAAGTCCACCACTAAACCATGTCCCTAAGCACCACAGCTACATGTCTTTTAAAAACCTCCAGGGATGGTGACTCAACCCCTTCCCTGGGCAGCCTGTTCCAATGCTTGATAACCCTTTCAGTAAAGAAATTTTTTCCTAATATCCAATCTAAACATCCCCTGGAGCAACTTGAGACCATTTCCTCTTATCCTATCGCTTGTTACTAGGGAGAAGAGATCGATCACCACCTCACTACAACCTCCTTTCAGGTAGAGAGCAATAAGGTCTCCCCTCAGCCTCCTCTTCTCCAGGCTAAACAACCCCAGTTCCCTCAGCCGCTCCTCAGAAGACTTGTGCTCCAGACCCTTCACCAGTTTTGTTGCCCTTCTCTGGTCATGCTCCAGCACCTCAGTGTCTTTCCTGTAGTGAGAAGCCCAAAACTGAACACAGTACTTGAGGTGCGGCCTCACCAGTGCCAAATACAGGGGAACAATCACTTCCCTGCTCCTGCTGGCCACACTATTTCTGATACAGGCCAGGATGCTGTTGGCCGCCTTGGCCACCTGGGCACACGGCCAGCTCATCTTCAGCTGGCTGTCGACCAACAGGTCTTTTTCTGCCAGGCAGCTTTCCAGCCACTCTTCCCCAAGCCTGTAGTATTGCGTGGGGTTGTTGTGACTCATGTGCAGGACCCGGCACTGAGCCTTGTTGAACCTCATACAACTGGCCTTGGCCCATCGATCCAGCCTGTACAGATCCCTCTGTAGAGCACAAGGGGAGGATACCCTAACCTAAACACCCACCCTGGGGTCTGAGGATTGATATTCTTAAGCCTCTTCTATACAGTAATGCTTTTGTGCCACTCATAACTGTGGTCTCAAGTTAACCCAATTTTCAAATCGCCTGTGCTATGAACTCTCTGGAAAGGGTGTATTACACAGAACTGAAACAGTCAGGACTCCTTAAAATATACATGTTGAGTATATAAATATATACACAGGTGAGATTCTTAATTCTCATTTCCTAGTTCAAAAAACTCCAAAAGGTAAGAAGAGGGTTACACTGAACTAATTCAAGTTTTTGATTGACAATGGATAACCATTTACCATGAGGAATTAGGAATTAAGTAAATGAACACTAAAATATAATGGGATTTAGTATATTCAAAGATGTAAACCACATTCAATAAAATGTTACTTATAAATTTTGAAAAAAATGGAAAACATCCTGCAATGTGACTTTATAAAACAGCAGTCTTAAAATATTCCGGTGAGAAATCTAAGATGACTGCTATTTCCTGGGTAGGAATTAAACAAGACTATACTAAAAACAAATGTGTGTAAAAAGGAATTAGACAAAACTGTAAAACATTGAAAGAAGACTGACACTAGTGAAATTCCAATTTGAGGAGGAAAATACTAGTTAAAATTTGCTACACTACGAGTTGCCTGATTTTTCTAGAACTGAAACAAATATTAGGCGGACAAAAGATGAACCAATTTAATGTTTGTCAATGGTGAGTATGTATTTATCCAGCAAGGAACCATTCAACTCATCTGTACACTATTGCCAGAGAGTTCTTTGGCTCATTTCACATCCTGGGTATCAAGCCTGCAGTTATAAATATCTCTAATGGACTTAGCAACAGTTACCTACAATCCTCTCAATGACAGAAGTTTGCTTTCCTAATGCTTGATACATTTGGCAGTGGACAGTTTTTACTTGAATTATATTTGTGTTTCTTATCTGAAACAAGCGTAAAACAGGCTACAATACTTAACACACTCTCCCAGTCAAAATAATCAAGTCTAAACATGTACGTGAATTTCCTTCCTCAAACACGTACAATTCGGATTTCACCACAGCATGCCGTTCGGTGAAGAGCCTGAGTAAATGATTGTGTGACCAAGTATCTCACTTAGCCACATTCAGGCAAGACTGACTTACACTGCTGCCTCGGTTATGCCAGGGAGGTGTGCTAAGACCAAAGTCGAACAGTCATACAGTCGGTTGCACGTGGGATTACACTAAACGATCCTACGCAATTTCTGTACTTTAATTGTCTCTTCAGCAGATTCTCTTTCAGGAGCTTGCAGCTCAATCCTCTCTCTGTGCCATAGTGTAATTCCTGCTCATCATGAGAAGCTGATACTGAAATACTACCACAACATCATGAACCTGAAGTCAACTAAATACATTAACAGCAAATATACTGAACATTGAAAGTCTCAATCCACATTTCTGTACTATATACATGTCACATTTTAAACTCTCAAAAACCCCTCCTTTCTTGAATTCCTTCTACATTTATAACAAACCCAGAAAGTGGGGGGAGGGGGAAGAGAAAAAAAGGGGAAAACTTCATTCTTCAAAGGAGAAATACATGGCAAAGAAGGACTAAATGGAATTCTCATTAAACAATTTGTGAGACAGGAAAATAAGAAATGAAGGGGCTATTAAAAAGCAGCAGCTGAACGAGCTACAGCTGCAATAATTTCCCCATTTTCCTGAGTCCCCCCACACTAAGTTGTTAGGCTCGCTACCCTGTAAATACTGTTGTTATTCCATGGCACAGGTACAGTGTACCTACAGGAAAGAAATTCCTGTGAATGACTCATATTTCTAAATAAGAGCATACCTCCATGAAATTTTCAGTTAGGGATGATTTATTTTCCTACCACATATGGTACTACTGTTTTATCTATTTTTCCCAAAACTATTAAAAGAAAAATTAGGTGAGGCACATATAATTACAGGGTTTAAGGCTTTTTGATACAGGAAAAAGTTTAAGATGGTAAAAGAACAATAGCGATGAACAATAGGAAGAGATAACTGACAAGAAAATTTAAAATTATAGTGTTGAACAATTTCTACATTCAATTTGGCACTCAGTAATAACACTGAATTGCCACCACTGAAAACTATATATTTGAAGCCTGAACACCAGAAGAGCTCTAGAGGATTAAGACAACTAAACATACTTCAGGAGTGTAACTTGGAGAGTGACAGGAACACATCAGGTGAAAAATTCTTATTTATTTATTTTTTTTTCTATTACATCAGTTTCTCTAGCGTTCAAATGTAATGCCTAGGTTTTTTCCCAGGCAGATCAGACAGATGCTACAAATCCTCACTGGATCTCACAGAGTACCATGCGCTCCCCAACACCACATAAAGGGGATGTACAGAGAGAGAGAGTTTGTGAGCCTACTTGGCCACCCTCCACGGCACTGGGAGGGAGACTCTGAGCTTCTCCTAAGAAGTGAGATAGTAAGAGAAGAGGAAAGGATGAAACTTGTGTCAGCTATATTGGGATCCTCGACATTTTTTACACAACAGAGCTTCTGCTGCTAAAGATTATATTAACCTCCTATTGTGGATACAGCCTATGTTGACAGAATATTTTTTTTTTTCTGCTGCCACAGTACACCTCCCTTCCAAATGACAGAAGTAAGCCAAAAAACACTCCCTTCTCTCA